ATGACAATGACAATGGCATGAAAATGAAAACAAAGATGATGAATAAACAAAAACAATGATGATGATGAGATGATGATGATGATAATCATATATATAATATGATGATCATATCATCATGATCATTCATATCATTATCATATCATAATTAGCATCATCATCATTATCATTATCATTATCATTATCATTATCATTATCATTATATTATCATTATATTATTATTATTATTATTATTATTATTATTATTATTATTATTATTATATTATTATTATTATTATTATTTTATTATATTATTATTATTATTTATTATTATTATTATTATTATTATTATTATTATTTATTATTTTATTATCATTATTATTGTATTTTATTGCTATTATCATTATATTATTGTACATTTTCACTATTATTATCATTATTCTAATTACTATTATTCATTATTCTAATTACTATTATCATTATCATTATAATTTATGCAAGAAAATTAAAAGAATTATTGGTATGTAATATACAATACAATATTTCTTTTAATATCTGTTAACATTTTTCTAAACATGATAAATCATTACCATTATCACTCTGACTAACAGCCTCTATGTCAGCCTTTGCAAAGAGTAATTTTCTAACAACTTCAATATTTCCAACAGCAGCTCCTTCATGTAGAGGAGTGCGACTTCTGTTTGCAGTGTCATTCACAGAAACTCCTGCTTCTATCAATGGCAAAATCAGATGATGATGACCACAAGTAGCTGCTAATGTAAGGAGAGTTCCTCCACCTGCATCTTTATCTTTGTCTGGAAGGATGACCTTGGGGTTGCCTCCATTTTTTATAGCTTCTAAGAGGGAAAGTTCTTCCCCATCACGGACATATTTAATCTGAGGAATAGGTATTTCCATTACTACATTAAATATCATTATCAGCATTAATATACAATACAGTATTAATACTTTATCTAATTATACAGCTCTAACTCATCTCAAAAAGCATATATATAATTTTTTATGAAGAAAGTAAACTTTACAAAAACTCACCATCTGCCGTGTGATATCCATTGGAGTGTTCTCTCCTTCTCTTAATCATCAAAAGAGAATGTGTTGACAGACTCATGCATTCTGAAGGATAAATTATCTGACTGTAGCATCACCATAATCAGTATCAATATCATTAAATATAACCAGCAAGGGGGTATGTATGACTAAGATTTCCGAATGATGATAATATAGCAAGAGTATTAATATGAAATTTAAAAATGTCAGATATCATACTGTGGAATTTATTGAAAATATAAATTATCACATTAAATTTACAAAAGTGAAACAATACTAATATCTTATCTAGTATGGGATCATATCTTGGCATTGTACAATAACTTGCTACTACCAACATGCCTATTGAGTTTTCTCATTCCCATGGGTATATTACTTTCCACTATTCATGCAGTTGTATCCCCACTGACAACTGCCAAACTTTGAACATTTTGCATGGGGAAAGCAAAAGGGGGCCAAGGGTATTTGACAGGGGGCTTCAGAAGGGAGCAGTGTGGGACTATTCTTCTTTTTTGAGGGGAAAGGGTAATATTATTGTTTGTGCACCATAATTTTATCTATCCATTTCTTGTTTTCGTGATTTGAGCTTAGTATAAATGATGGCAAATTGTATTTTACAATTTAGTGAAAAACTGTTGTACAATGACAGTTCGGAGGGTGTGCCCAACAGTAGTAGAGCTTCCCCCATTTTAATAGATACTGCATAATGTTTTGAGTGTAAAAAAAAAATATCAAGTTCATGTATCAGTATGAAGTGAATATCGTATCAAAACTACAAATATTGATAGCTGTTAGAACACGAAAGAACAGCGCCAGTCATTATAATGATGTATTTTCATTCTGAAGTACGTTCTTTCAGCGTACCATACTCTTTTTATCGAGGCAAAAGTTACCAGAATGCAACAAGTGTGAACAACACTGTTGCGCAACGAATATTCATCTTTACCAAATTTCTGATTATTGAATGATCACCATCGCTACTCTGTTTGTGTCACCAAGTATAACAAGCCAGTTCAATGTATTGTGGCCCAAAAAAGAAGTATCACTTCATACAAGTTGCCGAGGAGTAGGCATTGATCTCTATTTTTGCCATTACTTACTTGACAGTTGGTGTCCGTGTTATTCATCATGGGTGAGACCATTACACAGCTTGAAACCAAAATTCATATGCTGTCAGATGTGAAAAGTTGCTTTACTCTGACATAAATCTGGCGAGCAATACGTTTCTTGAGTAATTGAGCAAGATCCTGTAGTGGTAAAAATACGTATTGGCATCGTTAGTCATATGTTGCTATAACGCCCGAAATTTTTTTTTTAATCATCTCCCGTTTATTAATAATTCCTAGTTGTCATTAAGATTCTGCTTCTTGTTTTCCTTCTGCTTCTTCTCTTCCTTTTAAGTGTAAAAAGTAATCTTTAACTATCATCAACTCCAGCTGCCCCCATTATAAAATCATATGAGTCACAGATTAGTCATATGAACGTATTTATGCCATTCCATGAACGTGTTTTCTACTTTTTTTTCTATTTTAAACAAACTTTTTCCAAAACTGGTTCTTATCGGTAAATTATACAGTTTTGCTTTTTAATGTTACACTTCTGCTGATCAGACGTTTAAGCACCAACAAAATGCGACACCATATATATATATAATATATATATATATATATATATATATATATATATATATATATATATATGTATATGTATATGTAATAATAAAATGACCATTGTAACGAATGGAATAAAATATTTTGAATTTGAATTTTTGCCTAGGTATTCCTACAAGCTGCCGAAATCACAAGGATTAAGTTTTGTTAATGATCTTCATCACAATACCTCTGAAGAACATTTATTTTGCTTATATATATCTAGGCCTATGTATGTAGGCCTATGAATTATATACATATGCAGAATTTTCTGCCTATCTACCTTTCTGTCTCTATTTATTAATGTCTCCATCAGGGCGATTTTAAGTCTGTTACCAAGCGCCTGCGATGATATTTCGACAATTATCCAGCCTTTATAAAGAAGTAATCGGCATCATCAGTGAGATCAAGATTAGATGAGTGAAACAGGCATAACTGAAAATGAGGAATCAAAAATCTAGGATCATTTATTTATAATGAAATTAGTTTTTGCTCACAATGGTAACCCTGAACCTTTCCCCTACGATTGAATGTTTCCCCTACGCCTACCTGTGGAGACCAGTAAAATATTAATTTGTCCAATAAAATTCATAAAAGAGGCACAAAACCGGCATCTCGAGGGGTAAACTGGGTATGGGGATTATAAATTAGATTTCTTAAAGACAGATTCCCATTTTCTTCATGAGCATTTTTTTTTTCCGCCAAGGAAGTTATGTTTTTCGTCGTGTTGGTTCGTTCGTTTGTTCGTTTGTTAGCAGGATAACTCAAAAAGTTATGAATAATTTTTTTTTTTTTTTTTTACCTAACTTAGATTCCATTAAATTTTGAGTGATCTGGATCTAGGATTTTTTCTCATAACCTTGTCTCCGCCAAGGTTATCCCACGTCACCTGTGTATTTGAAAAATATACGTTTAATATAATTCATCAAGTGTGAATATTTCTATTGCATCAGTGACCCTATTACCTTGAGGGATATAAGCGCTCTCTGAATTTTTCTAGTTTTCAATATTTTTATCGCTCACCCATCTAGCCAGAGAAGTGGGAAATGAATTAAAGACTAACACTTGTAACGTTAAAAATCATGTCTGTAAAATGACAACCCATGACAAACCCGTGTCAATGTAAGCGGTGGGGCATGTAGAGGTTCGCCCACCGCTAGCCGCCAGATGTCAAAGTAAGAGGTTGGGGGCGTAGAGCAGGTGAATGAAAGGGGACTTTGCTTGAGGGTTTATTGGGGAGTAGATGTGTGACCCCATGAGAGACCCGTTCTGTGTGGTGCCGAGCGAGACCGTTGTCTGTTGTCCTCCGTTGTTCTGCTCCGCCTGCCTGATGAGACGTCCTTTTGTCCAGCTATCTTTGCGAGGTGTTTGCTTGCTTAGGAGAATGTGTTAAAAGGAAAGTAGAGTGAACACGCGTTCGCTGATGGAGGAAGACAGCTGCTGGGGGCCTAGGTGCGAAAGGGTGACCATCCGGCCTTGAGCATATTGCTGACAAGGTGCCTCGAAAAATCATGTCTTTTTTTTCAAATATAAAAGTTATCCATGCATAATAGGACGGATAGAAGAAAACGCTTTTCAGGGGAGACTGCCCTGGAATGTGGATTTACTTTGTGCTAGTGTAGTGTCTTCCAGTGAACTGCGCTGGCAGCAAAAGTAGACTGGAACTAAAGAAATATCAGACTTTTACAATGCCTCCTATAGAATTGTGTTCTTCCCATCACACTCCTTTGCATATATGAATAAAATTCCCATCCAGATCTTAAAGAAAATTAAAGATATGTTCTTTTTACTGAGTATGAATTAGTCACATTATTACACAAAAGAATCTCATCATTTGACCATGCTCTCGATAAGAGAAGAACATGTAATTACAGACATTCCAGCTTTTTCCCGTGGGTTCGCACCCACTTAGAAATTACTGAGCCCCTCTAGTGATTAAGAACCACTGATCTAAAAGCTTTGGGCGAGAACTTCAGAGGCTGTAGGTGAGGGCTGTTCAAAATGTTTCTAATAATGAGGTAAACTTAAGTATCCAGCATTCATATGAAAATTTATTATTGATTTGATTATTGACTTTATTATACCATATCATATCAGCTATGGACGATTCCAGGTGGCTTTCACATACGCATCAACCTGTACAATATTATTTCGAGCAGAAACACGGCCGCTGCCGTCGACCAGCCGATGCCTGCGATGTAGAAGGAACTCTGCATCATAGTGATGTCCATTTCTTGACTCCATCACCTTTCGAGCGGTCACACGTCGAGACGTAGTAGGGACTTGATTTTCTCAAGGATGCCATAA